TTTTTATTTTTGTTTCCTTTTCACATTATTATACCAATATTCTCTAACTTTAGTAGATGTCCATGAATTATTTATTTTGATAGATTTTCTAATGATTTTTTTGCTACATCCTTTGGTAAATCTGTAGGATGATTAAATGCTTCTTGAAGCATTTTGAGTCCCTTATCTGTTTTTTTATGACTTTTATGTGGATGCGTCTCAATTGTAACTGTTTTCTTTGCATAATCTTGTGAAATATCTTCAAATATTTGTGCTGATGTCAAATGTCGACGTTCCTAAATAATAATGAGCGAGCGAACCAATCATTAAAAATATAAATATATATATGTATATTTTTAATGATTAAGAAATAGTTTGAGTTATTAATTACCTCGTCGTATCCAAATAACCACATTCGTGGTGTCTGATAATATTTATCATAGGTGATGAATAAATCATATGTTCGAACCTGAAGAATTTTATCACTATATCAAAAAAATATAATTTCTAAAATATAAATATATTTCAGTTTTTGTTTAATTTATTTATTTTAAAAGCAAACCTTGGGCTATCTTCATATGATGAATTTCTGGTATTGTTTGATGGTGATAATGTAGACTAATAATAATAAATAATTTAATCAATATCATTTGCTTTTTCTTTTTTACTGTTTGACAAGAAATTTTTTAAAAGTAAAATTAATTTCACCAGATCTTCTTCTTCAACAACTTCTCCTTCTTCTATATCATCATCGATATCTGGAATTTCATCAATATCTGGAATATCTTCATCATCTTTATCATTAGTTTCTTCCAAAACGACCTTGCTCATTCTTTTAGTGACCTCGTCCTCTTCACCTTCAATTTGTTGAGAAATTTCATCAATGTTTGTTGTTGCTATAATCAAATAATTAAACAGTTATATATGTGTGTGTGTGTGTATTGTCATGGAACAACTAATCTATTAATTAATTATTAATTATTACCACGACCACTATGAGTCGCAACCCAAGCTTCTCCATCTTCAGTCTCAATTTGAGTCTCAGCATCTTCATCAGTATATTCCATTTGTTTGATACGTCTTAAACAA